TTTTTGTTAATATTTTACTTGGATTTTATTTATATATATATTTTTTTTTCCTGTATTCATTTTAATTTGAAAGTTTTAGTATTTTTGTTGTGTTTTTTTTGTCAATCTTTTTTTTTATTTTATTTTTTATAATATATATTCTTTTAAGTTTTAGGTTAGTTTATTTTTGTACTTAAACTTATTTTATTTCCAATAGCTGCCAAGGAAACATTTCCCTTTTTTTTTTTTTTAGTTAACTTTTTTTGTGTGTGTGTTATTATAGTGTCACTGATATACTATTGTAATTTTTGTTAATATTTTACTTGGATTTTATTTATATATATATTTTTTTTTCCTGTATTCATTTTAATTTGAAAGTTTTAGTATTTTTGTTGTGTTTTTTTTGTCAATCTTTTTTTTTATTTTATTTTTTATAATATATATTCTTTTAAGTTTTAGGTTAGTTTATTTTTGTACTTAAACTTATTTTATTTCCAATAGCTGCCAAGGAAACATTTCCCTTTTTTTTTTTTTTTTACATTTTTTTGTGTTATTTTAGTGTCACTGATATTCTATTGTAGTTTTTGTTAATATTTTACTTGGATTTTATTTATATATATATTTTTTTTTCCTGTATTCATTTTAATTTGAAAGTTTTAGTATTTTTGTTGTGTGTTTTTGTCATTCATTCATTGATTTTGTTTATTTATTTATTTTATTTTATTTATTTTATATAATTATTTTTAAAGTTTTAGGTTAGTTTATTTTTGTACTTAAACTTATTTTATTTCCAATAGCTGCCAAGGAAACATTTCCCTTTTGTTTTTTTTTAGTTAACTTTTTTTGTGTGTGTGTTATTATAGTGTCACTGATATACTATTGTAATTTTTGTTAATATTTTACTTGGATTTTATCTTTTTTTTTTTTTTCCTGTATTCATTTTAATTTGAAAGTTTTAGCATTTTTGTTGTGTCATTCATTCATTCATTCATTTTAAGTTTTAGGTTAGTTTATTTTAGTACTTAAACTTATTTTATTTCCAATAGCTGCCAAGGACACATTTCTCATTTTTTAGTTAACAGTAATAACCCTAATTGAAAGGCACCATCCCATGAGCACTGTAGATCTGAGCAGATGTCTTCAGCAGCACGTGTGTGTGTGTGTGTTGTCTCTTCTCCGCGGCTCAGGTGTGCTGGACGCTGCTGAGAATCTGACTCCGCTGGGAGAGCGCGTGGCCTGCATGTCGTGTGACCCGCGTCTGGGGAAGGCGTTGGTTCTCTCGGCTCTGTTCTCCTGCGTTCTTCCCGTTTTGTCTGTGGCGGCCTGCTTGACGCGAGACCCGTTCTATAACAGCATGCAGAACCGGGCGCTCGTCTCCAAGGTCAGAGAGCCGTTCGGAGAGGGTTCACGGTGTTTGTGCTGGTTTTAATCCTGCTGTGGTCTCTGCAGGCCAAGGCGGCTCTCAGCGGCTCCAGCTGCAGCGATCATCTGGTCTTCAGTCGAGTCGTTCAGAGCTGGAAAGAGCTGCAGGGCAGAGAGAGCAAGCAGGAGTTTCTGGACCAATACACTCTGTCTGGAGCCAGTCTGCGCTTCATACATGGTGAGACCTGCACACAGTTAAAGCACGAGGCTAAAACTATATGGCCATCTAATTAAACTGAATTCAAATCTAAATAATAGAATTATTCTGGCCATCTCATGTTATTTTGAGCGTACGTGTCCATGCTGAGTCTATGTAAATCTTTGTGATTATGATTATGCTCCTAATGCATTCAGGTCTGTTTTGACCTGGAACAGATACATCATTTCTAAAAATGCATAGTTTTAGAATTGACTTTGCAAATGCTTTAAGATGCCTAAAATACATATCATTTATTTTTTACAATTGATGATTTTTTTTTTCTTTCTTTTTTTTTTACAAATATTTATTAAGAGTTTGGGTCATTTTGACACTGGTATGTATTGGGTGTCAAAAATTCTTTGTAAAATTATCTATGGAGTTATATTAGTGTCAAAAACTTTCCCATGTGTCTCACACTTTTGGACTGAATTTTACCTGAATATGTTGCCTACTAATGAACCACTGCAGAATGAAAGACTGATCACTTTTTTCATCTGAAAGTGAAAGTTTATGCAAGTAGATTGAATTTATTTACTAACATTAATATTTACGTTGTTTTGATGTTTTGAGCAATCATGAGTTATAAAATGATAAATTCAATGGAGTTTAATTAAATTCCATTCTTTACACCGAGGTCAATACTGATAATTCTCAGATTATACGCTCTTATAAATTTCATACAGTGATATATTCAAATAAAATTTCTCATCAATATTGAAAAAAAATTATCCGTTTTTGTTTGTATGGTTCGTACATAATTAGAAATTTCAAAGAATTTTTAAATGAATAAAAACAGTTAAATGCAGCAATAACAAGGTAACATTTAAAACTTTGAAATTGGTTCACATTCACTCATCAATGAGAAGTTGCTGATCAGATACAAAATGATTGCAGTTGAAAAATCTATAATAATTCTTTGGGTCCAAACACAGTACATTATAGTGCATCTGTGTATGTAAACGCTCTGGTTCTGCGTCTGAACGTCACATTAGAGTCATCTGAAGCTTTGCTGCTCTTCTGTGAATTTGTTTTCTGCTGCATCTGCACAAAATACGAAGCGCTGATGTGTTGTTTTCATGCTTGAGACTGGTCTGCACTGATGTGGCTTCCTTAGGATGAGTCGTTCTGTTGTATTCCTCAGTCACTTTGGATAGAAAGCCTCTGGTGAATGAACAAGTGTGATGATATAAATCATGCTCTTCATGTGATTGCTTGCTCTGGGTCTCAAACAGGCCTGATGCAGCAGTTCGGAGAGAATCTGTGTGAAGCTGGACTTCTGGATGCTTCTGCTGAATGTCTGCGTCTGTCGTCTGGTCTGAATCAGCACAGTCAGCAGGAGCAGCTGGTTAAAGCCGTGCTGATCGCCGGACTCTATCCTCACCTCATACAGGTGGTTATTGACACATGCATTTATTTTGTAAGCAGATAATATAATTTCTTATTTAAAGTCCCAAGCAGATTTGAAAAGCATTGCATTAATTAAAAATGCACTACAGTCAGTTATGTTTTGGTGCATGATTTCATGTGCGCAAGCCTGAATTGTATAACCGTATAGATTTGTAATGTCAGCGTTTATTGGCCACAGCACAAAAACAACAACTGTATCTGCACCAAACATGATTTCTGTAAAGTTGCACATCTATTTACAGGTGAAAAGAGGCACAGTGACCAAAGGTGGAAGATATCGGCCGGAGAATCTCTCGTACCGTACGGAAAGCGGCCCTGTGCTTCTGCATCGCTCCTCTGCCAACCGGTAAAAACATCAATAGAGTTACTGTTACTGGATAATGGATCGATTGAAATGTTTGTTTTATTGTTTTAAGGCCTCACACTACACATTTTTACAATTTAAATATTTGAATTCAAAACCCGAGTTTGTACAGGAAAATGCATTTTGAAGACTTGACCTAATATGGAATCAGTATTACGTGTGTTTTGATATCGTAGCTTTATAATGCTTTGTTATGATTGGCTTAGCTCTTCACATCAGAACTGAGCGCCAGTGTTTGCTAACAGGTTTTGTGTCCCATCTTTCAGTAACAGCACCTGAAATATGATGCACAACAAAACCCAAATAATTTTTTTGTTATGTGAAAATAAACATGAACTGGAATTAAAAAATTTAAAAAAAAAAAAATATTTTATTTCAGCTGGTTGCCATGGCAACATTTCTCATTTTCATTTAGTTTTATGATGTACTAAAATAACTAAAGCTTAAACTGAAATAAAAATTGTAGACGTATATATTTAAAGCTATAAAAATGACTAAAATTTTAATGAAAATGGAAAACAAAAAATTAAAACAAATTCAAAATATTAATAAAAACTCAATAATACCAAAATAACACCTGGCAGACTTTCTCTACATTTTCCTCATCATGTTAAATACAAACAGGAATACGGAGTCTAACTTTTCAAATCAAATCAAATCTCTGTTGGGCTTTCTCGTTCTGAATGTGCATCGTTCGAGTATCTGTTTCTTCTTCTTGTGCTGGTGTCATTCAGAGGAAACCCGGATCTGTCGAGTCGCTGGCTCACATTCTTCTCTGCGGTCAAATCAAACGGTCAGGTCTTCATCAGAGACTCTTCGGTGGTTCATCCGCTGGCGCTGCTGCTCCTCACAGACTGTGACCTCAGCGAGAGAGGTAATGCCAGGCCTAATCATAGCGCACACACTAGAGCTCAGTTTGTGAAGGAAAACTAGGGTGAGAAATATTTGTTGACAACCTGTTCTGACAAAGACAAGACGACACTGAAATCATTAAATACTAACTGTGACTATATCCAACATTCAGTATAAGATGAGACTAAAATGTAGTTTAAAAAAATAGACTTTCTATATCTAAAATTTTTCTAAAAGAGGAAAAAAATGGACCTCCAGAAGTTTATGCTTGCGGTTGCCAGATATCAGGCGTGTAAATCCCCCACTCAGAGCTTCTCTCTTTAAAAAGGCACATATGTGTTTATCTTCCCAACCTGGCAACCACAAACATGTAATCTGGAGTTGATCTCGACTGATCGAGTTTACAATACAGAGTCTTCTTTTCCATTTCAATAGAAAAACTATTTGGAATTAATATTAGGAATGTCACCGTTTTCATTTTAGATGAGTTTAACCAGTTTTCATAATGTAGAGAGAGTGTTTATATTTCTGATAATATAATATTTGTGTCCCTGCAGCACAAAAGCAGTGTTAAGTCGCTGGGGTATATTTGTAGCAATAGCCAACAATACATTGTATGGGTCAAAATTATACATTTCTCTTTTATGCCAAAAATCATTAGAATATTAAGTAAAGATCATGTTCCTTCAAGATATTGTGTACATTTCCTACCGTAAATATATCAAAACTTAATGTTTGATTAGTAATATGCATTGCTAAGAACTTCATTTGAACAACTTTAAAGATGATTTTCTCAATATTTAGATTTTTTTGCACCCTCAGATTCCAGATTTTCAAATAGTTGTATCTCAGCCAAATATTGTCCTATCCTAACAAACCATACATCAATGGAAAGCTTAGCTTTCAGCTTTGAGATGATGCATACATCTAAATTTTGAAAAATGGACACTTAAGACTATCTGTGACCCTGGACCACAAAACCAATCACGATTATAATTTTGAGCAGAATAATTGTGATTAGCAGTTTAACCATTATGCAGCGTGACTAAGTTTTAATTGACTAAAACTAGACTAAAATAGACCAGTTGGACTTCAGAACAAAAGATCAACATTGCCTAAATATGATAAAAACCAAAAGGATATTTGACACAGGACTGAGACTATGACACAGCTGATTGGTCAATGCATGTTAGCTCTAAAGTGTTTTGTAGATGCAGCGGTGAGGATGTTTTGGTTTGTGTTTGCTCAGTTGTTGGAGATGTTGTGGAGGTTCTGTTACCGGGTCACTCACTCATCCGATGGGAGTTTTCTCCTCACGTCTGGGAGTTACTGTGGGATCTGCGCACTTCCCTGCAGGCCATGATCCACCGCAGTCTGCGCCGCTGCGACCGCAGATCCACCTCCGGCGGCTGTAAGGACAGCGAGCTCGTCGCTTTATTAGTGGAGCTGCTGAATAACACGGATCCAGAGCCTGGCAGCGATCAGGAAGAGTTCAGCACAGAAAACATTCGATCCGACCGTCTGTAACCTCCACACTTCTGCACATGAAACACAATCATGCATGAAGCTGCTTTATTTATTTTTTAAGTGAAGAGATTGGTGGCATTTCTCATTAGCAGACTACGTGAAACCCCAGAACGTTTATGCACAAAGGTATTTTCATCAAGCTCGGGAGACATAAATACTAGGATGTGTAACATAAGAATGCATCTAACTTGATATCAACGTTGTGTCTGAGGATGTATGAATACTGCTATAATACTAAACTATTTTGTGTGCCTGTGAGGGCGGGACAAATAAAGTAATGTAACACTTTGCTTCATTTATTGTCCAATTAAAGATGTTCAAATCACATCCTGCATAATTCCAGTGCTCATTTGATGTGACAATACAGTGCCGTGCGAAAGTATTCACACCCTTCATATTGTTTTTATTTTTATAAAGCCTCAAACTTTACTTGGAATGCATCTAACTTAATATCAGCGTTGTGTCTGAGGATGTATGAATACTGCTATAATACTAAACTATTTCGTGTGCCTGTGAGGGCGGGACAAATAAAGTAATGTAACACTTTGCTTCATTTATTGTCCAATTAAAGATGTTCAAGTCACATCCTGCATAATTCCAGTGCTCATTTGATGTGACAATACAGTGCCGTGCGAAAGTATTCACACCCTTCATATTGTTTTTATTTTTATAAAGCCTCAAACTTTACTTGTTGCATTTAAATTTTTCAGGTGGCTCAGTTAAAATTGTGAACTGAACGTCTTTTAACTTTGGCGCAACAATCAGCATAAAACGTTGAGTTTTGACCTCCAAAACTAGGTGTTCTGCACAGAAACACTGTCTCTGTTCACTGTAAGGAGCATTTGGCTCGCACACAAAGAGTCACTTGTTGCATTTAAATTTTTCAGGTGGCTTTTTCAGGTCTTTTAACTTTGGCGCAACAATCAACATAAAACGCTGAGTTTTGACCTCCAAAACTAGGTGTTCTGCACAGAAACACTGTCTCTGTTCACTGTAAGGAGCATTTGGCTCGCACACAAAGAGTCGACTGCATCCGAAGCAAATGAGAGCTTCTGACATGAGAGAGATGTATTATTAAATTCTGTTTTACACTGTGTGCATATCAGATTCAGTGCAACTGATTTGCTTCTGTTTCATTGCGGTCCGTGTGAATGCATCCTGACTTACCAACACCGAGATATTAACATGAGAAGCTGTTAACAGAAACATTTCTGTCATACAGGCTACTGAATTATAAAATCATGCTTTCCGCCAGATCTTGCATTTCTATTCATTACAAATCCTCAGAAAGGGAGCGAGTGATTATCATTACAAGTGAAGAAAAGAGAAGAGAAATGAGACACATTCCAGGTGTAATCAAGTCAAATAATTTGAATGAATAATTGTAAATTAATTTAATTGTGCAAATTGCGGGAGAGCAGCGTCTGCTGTCATCCTTACAATGTAAGAGCAAAATTAAAAGAAACAACAGTTCAGTCTGTGAAAGTGCAGCTTATGATTATTTGCAGGGTAACAGTGAAATTTACACCTGGCATTTAGTGCGATACAAACACCGTAAAGGTGTGTAAAGTGGGCCTTTGGCTATTTAATTCAAGATGATTTCATCTCCCCTGCATAAAAACAAGCACATACAATAATATTATTAATATTTAAAACAGTTAAGTAAATTTTTTTCAGGATTTTTTGATGCATAGAAAGATCCAAAGATCAGCATTTATCTGATTTTTTTTTATTTATTTTTTTTAGGAAATATATTATGGAAATTAATACTTTTATTTAGCAAGGATGCTTTAAATTGATAAAAATATTCCACAATATTACTGTTTTTGGGATCAAATAAATGCAGGCTTGTTGAGCAGAAGAGAATGTGTTAATGAACACTAAAAATCTTACTGTTCAAAAACGTTTGACTGGTAGTGTATGAACATCTTGTGGTATTTTACAGCCACAAACTCAATATCGTTGTGGAACAACACAAACTCCATCTCTGTTTCATTATTTCAGTCAGAGTTCTGGTTCAAAGTGATCTAACGAATGGATGTTTAGCCAGAAAGCTCACGTATTAACACCGTATTATATCTTCCCAACAATGCGCTGAACAAATCCACACACTCACAAATACAAATCATGCAGAATGTGTCATTTAATGCACAAATAAATGCTGAACCATTTGCATTGGTCTTCTATTGGTCATATACTCTATATGAGACTTTATGTTTCCAAGGAACCAAAAATATGATGATCTTCTATCCAAAAATATAAGAGCTGCTTTGTGTTTTAAGACTCATTTATAAGGCTGTTATGTGAAAAAAATAAAATAAATAGTGTAACAGAGAAAACAGAAGACAAAACTCTCACCTATGTTTTTCCTCGAAGTCGCCTTATAACTCGATGGAACATCAAACTTAAGCAAATGAACGAGCTGTATCAAAATAACACGTCACGTTACTTACTATCAGCACTTAAAGGTACAATATGTAAGATTTTTGTAATAAAATATCCAAAAACCACTTGCACAGTGTTATATATTTCATGCAGTTGTGTACTTACACTATCTCAAAATAGGCCGCAGATTAGATGAGTCAGCCGTACGGCTTGAGAAGGCCTTAGACTTTCTATCACGTGATAAAACAGAAATAGAGAAAACTACAGGCACACTGGGTTCCCGCTTGTTCTGTAAACAATTGTGAATGCTGCTATCATAGCGGGGACCCAACACGTATCACTGAGAGCTGCTATCAGCTGTTTTTGGTTCACCTAGAGTAGATGGAGGAGGGTTTGGGCCCTGGCGTTGTGGCAGCGGCCAGAGAGCTCTCACAGGAGAAGGAAGACGAGCTGGGCCCACAGGCTTTGGTGGTTGTGGGGCCCGCCGTTTTTTAGTTGA